GAAGATCGGAAACAGGGTTTTCTCCACATCTTTATCCCTTTGTTGATGTTGTTTTTTTTCCCACATCTTTATTGGAGTAGAATTGCTTTACAATGGTGTGTTAGTTTCTGCTGTATAACAAAGTGAATCAGCTATACGTATACATGTATCCTCATATCCCTTTGGTCTAATGCAGGAGGCTGGCACCAGGGTAAAGGAAGTTCTAGGGCCTATCCTGCCCTCCAGCCCAGCAATTCCTGCAGGGAAGTAACCCTGTTCTTTCTTCCTCACGTTTCATAGATTCTCCGCCTACACTCCTCACGTGGGAGGATTTTGCAGAGCCCTGCGGAAGGTGGGAGCTGTCTTGACCGTGAGCATCCTGACTCACCACTTCTCCCCTGCATCCAGTGGATCCTCTCCTGGTTGATATCAGGTCCTGTGCCCCCCAGAAGCCCAGCCTTTCCTTCCTTGAGCCTTTGGGAACCTTCATTGTCTGGCGGATGATTCACCAGCATGATCTGTTCGTGTTTGGGCTCAGAAACACTAAAATCTCCTATTTCTAGCAACCGGACCTAATCAGTTGTGCTTGTATGACACAGAGTGAATGTTTCCATTTAGCATAGCAATTCCAGGAGATGTTTTGTTTTATGTATTTAGGTCGTTTATATTCTCTGGAGTGCACCCCTTTTTGTTGAAATCCTAGAGCAGATGGAAAGGTAGCAAGACCTGAATTTTCTGAATAAATTTTCCTCCTGAAGAAGACTGAGAATGATTATTAAGGTTTTTAAGAGAGAGGGCAAACCTTAAAATAAACCAATTATAAAGAATAGGAAAGTAGAGAAATTAGAGTGAAAAAGTGGGAATAACCCAAGGGAGAGGATACTGTTTTAAGTTGTTTGTAAATGGAGAACCAGTCATCTGGGTTCAGGGCCATCCAGGGAAACACGATGGATACATTTAGACCTTTTCAGAAGAGGCCATCCTTTTACACTGTGTTTCTGTTTACTGACTCAGAAACATCGAATATACTTTGTGGTTACAACAATAATAGAAATTAAATACGTTTTCCTACAAAATAAGTGTGTTCAACAGTGCTTTACTCCAGTATTTATTTCACTATATTTCTTTAATCTCATATCAAATACAGGCGGTCCTCGACCTAACAATTTTTTGACTTTACCATCGTGTGAAAACGATGTGCATTCGAATTTTGAATTTGGAGATGCTGTCTGATCTTCTCTTGATGCTGGGCAGCTTCAGCTCCCAGGCAGCCAGCCCCCTGATCACGGAGGGAAACAACTGGTAGATGCTTACAACCATTCTGGACCCAGACAACCACTGTGCTTTTCACTTTCAGTATTCGATAAATTGCATGAGATATTCCATGCTGTGTTGTCAAATAGGCTTTGTGTTAGATGATTTTGCTCAACTGTAGGCTAATATATATGATCTGAGTACGTTTAAAGTGGGCCAGGCTGAGCTCTGATGTTCTGTGGGGAAGGTGTATTAAATGCATTTTCAACATACGATATTTTCAACTTATGGTGGGTTGATCAGGAGGTAACCTCATACTAAGTATAGGAAGATCTGTAGTATTGTTTTTCTTGTCTTTGTCTTTGTGGAATGTTATCCTTGCACCTCTACAGACATATTCATATCCCTTTGGTCTAATGCAGGAGGCTGGCACCAGGGTAAAGGAAGTTCTAGGGCCTATCCTGCCCTCCAGCCCAGCAATTCCTGCAGGGAAGTAACCCTGTTCTTTCTTCCTCACGTTTCATAGATTCTCCGCCTACACTCCTCACGTGGGAGGATTTTGCAGAGCCCTGCGGAAGGTGGGAGCTGTCTTGACCGTGAGCATCCTGACTCACCACTTCTCCCCTGCATCCAGTGGATCCTCTCCTGGTTGATATCAGGTCCTGTGCCCCCCAGAAGCCCAGCCTTTCCTTCCTTGAGCCTTTGGGAACCTTCATTGTCTGGCGGATGATTCACCAGCATGATCTGTTCGTGTTTGGGCTCAGAAACACTAAAATCTCCTATTTCTAGCAACCGGACCTAATCAGTTGTGCTTGTATGACACAGAGTGAATGTTTCCATTTAGCATAGCAATTCCAGGAGATGTTTTGTTTTATGTATTTAGGTCGTTTATATTCTCTGGAGTGCACCCCTTTTTGTTGAAATCCTAGAGCAGATGGAAAGGTAGCAAGACCTGAATTTTCTGAATAAATTTTCCTCCTGAAGAAGACTGAGAATGATTATTAAGGTTTTTAAGAGAGAGGGCAAACCTTAAAATAAACCAATTATAAAGAATAGGAAAGTAGAGAAATTAGAGTGAAAAAGTGGGAATAACCCAAGGGAGAGGATACTGTTTTAAGTTGTTTGTAAATGGAGAACCAGTCATCTGGGTTCAGGGCCATCCAGGGAAACACGATGGATACATTTAGACCTTTTCAGAAGAGGCCATCCTTTTACACTGTGTTTCTGTTTACTGACTCAGAAACATCGAATATACTTTGTGGTTACAACAATAATAGAAATTAAATACGTTTTCCTACAAAATAAGTGTGTTCAACAGTGCTTTACTCCAGTATTTATTTCACTATATTTCTTTAATCTCATATCAAATACAGGCGGTCCTCGACCTAACAATTTTTTGACTTTACCATCGTGTGAAAACGATGTGCATTCGAATTTTGAATTTGGAGATGCTGTCTGATCTTCTCTTGATGCTGGGCAGCTTCAGCTCCCAGGCAGCCAGCCCCCTGATCACGGAGGGAAACAACTGGTAGATGCTTACAACCATTCTGGACCCAGACAACCACTGTGCTTTTCACTTTCAGTATTCGATAAATTGCATGAGATATTCCATGCTGTGTTGTCAAATAGGCTTTGTGTTAGATGATTTTGCTCAACTGTAGGCTAATATATATGATCTGAGTACGTTTAAAGTGGGCCAGGCTGAGCTCTGATGTTCTGTGGGGAAGGTGTATTAAATGCATTTTCAACATACGATATTTTCAACTTATGGTGGGTTGATCAGGAGGTAACCTCATACTAAGTATAGGAAGATCTGTAGTATTGTTTTTCTTGTCTTTGTCTTTGTGGAATGTTATCCTTGCACCTCTACAGACATATATATTATAAGATTTGGATTAGAGGACCTTCAAGGTATAATTTTCAATCTGCACCATCCTACTCTCACTGCCCGTGATACAGTGATTTGAAAACCAGTGGTAAACAAAGCTAGGGCAATTGAATCATATTCTCCCATTATCTTCCATTATAAAATCAAATACTAATTAGAAGAGGAAAAAAAAAGTGCTTTATTCCAGGGATAAACATCCCACTTTAATATATTAACAAATATATGATATATTTAAATTAGAACACATCTTTGATAAGACAATTGTACTCAAGCTAAGATACAAGGTACCAGCATACTAAAATTTTCAAGTGTCAATTTTTATTTTAATATTTGATATTTACTTCTCTTATTGGCGCAAGATCAATTAAGAGGGATGCCCTGCATTACTCTTATACTCCAAGATGACCTCTAGCTCAGGGAAAATGCTAGTAGAAAACCGTTTTATAAAAGCAGTTTTAATACATAATTATACTTAATAGGGTTACTCTATAATAAAACAACAGTTAAATGCATATTCTTCTGAGGATATTACAAATTTATTAAACTGAGATATTTTGTAAAACAGACTAAGTTAAAAGTCTCTACTTTTAACTACTTTTTACTACTTTTAACTTTTAATAGGAGACATTTTTTAAACAAACATGCTACAGCCTTATTTCTATCTTCGAAAATCTAAAATGAGTTTTTAAAAATGCAATCTTAGTAACTTTGGGATTACATACAATAATAGTTTATTTCCCATGGGTCTCTGAAAGTCAGCCAAGAACTAAGTTACTAGGCCCCTGGGTCATCAAAATAGTGGTCAAAATATTTTATCAAAATTTGATAAATTTATAATATAAAACTCATCAAAATATTTTCTTCTGCTTTACACAGTGTTGTAAGTATCTTGATTATCTTATTTCTAAATCCATAATAAACTCAAATATAGTCTAAATTACAAAGAAGGCACAAAGGCTTTTTAAAAATTTTTATTTAATTTTTTAAATGATGTTTTACATCGCACTCAAGTACAGTCAAGCAGAAGAGAATAAACCCCTGCAGGGGACACCGCTACACTAATACCTTCTGGTGTACGGCATTCCCTTGCAGTACAGTCTATGCAGAACCCTTGCTTTGTGTAAGAAGGGTTAGAAACACCACAATGAAGGTCCACAGATAGCGTACATTTTCTGAGTTTTCTACATTTGCTAAGTGATACCCCCTTGTCCCTTTCTTTGAAAACCTCACAAGTTAAGGCATTTTTCTTCTTCCATTTTCTATAGCCTTGGACTGCCCTGATCCCTGAAGTGTGACCCAGGGCCTCTTTATCAACCAGATATGAAGTTCATTTTCCTGGGTCCAGGTATCACCAGCTATCAGGAGTCATACGTGTAAAAGCACAGAAGGGAAACCTTGAGAGGCAACCCTTGAGAAGGAGAGGGTCTTCAGATGGTTTGAGCAGGTGCGTAATGTTCCAAAGTTCTCAGGGTGAGAGGGCAGTAGTGACCATTTTAGCCCCACCAGTTTCTGAAATAGGTCTATTTAAAGCAGTGAAGTGACCAGTGGGATATTTGCAGGGAAGGGGCAATTTATCCTTTCTTTACTGAATTAATCTTTATAATGACAAGTGTACATCTAACAGGGTGGGTTTCCTGAATGAGAGTCAACTTTATTTCAAAAAGGATATAACTTGCTCTTTTCTAAACCATACTCATATTTTGTATTAATATAAAAAATACAGAGATAGCCAATTACAGAGGCCAAAATTTGAAAGCTAACACATTATTTGAAAAAAATATAGACCTTTAAAAATATAATATACAAATACTTTTAGTAAGGGTTCACATTTTTCTGTTTCATTCTAAAAATGAAATGGTGAATTTCTCATTTTTTTCTAAATCAACAAAGGGATATATGGGAATAGCTAGTAATATATAGATATTTTAAACATACTATAGTTCAAAAACAGTAAAAATGCATAAAACAATAGTACGTACTAGTACACTTTAACTAAAATTGCTATTTCACTTCTCTGGGGGTGTTCTCATATCTCTTTACCCTATCTTTAGCATATTTTAATATGAAATATACACTATGCAGATGAAATAGAAATTTTTGATTTTCAAACATTTAGAATTATTTTACTGCCTTATCGATACTGTAAGAAATTCTGCAATAATGTTGGCAGCTGGAGCTGTGGGATAAGGTGTAATCTTGGTCTTCCAATGTAGTGTCTGATACAGAGTCTGCAAAGTTGGCACAGAGAGCTTGGGGTAGCTGCAAAAGACATGAAAGTATTTGTTCATTAAAATCAAAATGGAGTTTTCTATGTTTTAAGATACATGAAACCAAACCACAAAAAAAAATACAGTGCTTTGCAGTAAACTAGGGGAGTATGACCATTATCCCAGGAAAATTTATATAAGCACTTGTAATGCTTTTATTTATAAGACTTTATTACAATTGAGGTATAGTCTATGCCCCTGCATGTTCTTTAAAACATTATAATCTTCAGGCTTATGAAATTATTGTTGCATGTAAACCTTCAAAAAAATTTCTGCTTTTAGAAGGAGATATAAATCAAAAGCCCCAAGAAGTGCTATGCACTAAAAGGGGAATTTTTAAAATTATTTTTTTCTCAGATTAGGTTTACTATTTAAGCCAAAGCAAGTTTTACTACAGTGTCTGGACCAGGCTTTAGAATTTCTGTTTTAGAACAAAAAGACTTCATGATTATGTTTCTATAACACGTTATAGATAATGCATGCCCTTATAAAATGGGGCATGTTTCCAAATATTTATTAAAATATTAAACAGAATTACATATTGTTTATTGTCAAAAGAAACACTATGTTTAACTTCACCAAACGAACATAGAATCTAGGTAAGATGAGCACAAAGGAAATCAAGTTCATGACCCCTGCTGTACAGGTGGAGCCCAAGGTCAAAAATTACCTTCTTTCAAAAAATATTCCAAATGTTATGCCATTGTTATTATTATTATTTTTTGCGGTACGCGGGCCTCTCACCGTTGTGGCCTCTCCCATTGCGGAGCACAGGCTCCGGACGCGCAGGCTCAGCGGCCATGGCTCACGGGCCCAGCCGCTCTGCGCATGTGGGATCCTCCCGGACCGGGGCACGAACCCGTGTTCCCTGCATCGGCAGGCGGACTCTCAACCACTGCGCCACCAGGGAAGCCCCATTATTATTTTACATGCCAACAAAAAGTCTTTAAATTTCATCTACTTCAGGCAAACAAAACGTTTTCAATGCCCACATGGATTCTTCTTACCTTCATGCTGAAGCAGTAATCTTTCCACCAAACTGCTAGAGGTCGCTACGTCGACAGGTCTCAGAAGCTCTGTGTTTCTGGCATTGATGTCTGCTCCAAATTCTAGCAGTAAGTTTACAATTTCTGTACAGGACTGTTGAGCAGCAGCGTGTAATGGGGTATCCCAATATTTGCCTTTTTGTATGTCAGCGCCTACATGGAAATGAGGAATGACGGTAGATACAAACAGAGTTAGTTAGATGAGTCACTTAACCTCACCAAGGCGCGGCAGGTGTGTCAGCCACAAAGAGGTCTCAACTCTTTCTGCAAGGAGTTATTTCTTTATGTATAATATACATAAACATGCATATTTCATCTTAAAACGTGATACAGCTGGTTGGAGAATGCACACTTTTGTTAGATTCTCTAACATTTTTCTCTGTGCTTGAAAGATCTCATAATAAAAAAAAATTTTTTTTTAAATTTTAAACAGTTCCCAAAGGAGTCATATTAATTAGTATTACAAAGAGTGCACAATTAGGTTGACTCATATCCCTTTTCATCATAATGGATAGTTTTTAGGATTATTCAAGAGCTTATTGCTCTTATTCTTTTCATTTATTTTAAGGCAATAGAGCACTCTGGTTTCTTGGAAAACTCATGAATCTGGATAGGTGAGCTCTTTGGGTAAAATGTATATAGATTTTCCCCTTACTTCTCACTCACGTAGTTTAATTCAATAAATATATAAGGGCACTGAGCCTCTTAAATGGAAAGGCACACTATATTTCTGCATGCAAAGCAAGTTTTTTAAATGCTTATATTAAAATACCCTTACATGTTAAACTAGCTATTACGTAGTTATTTTATCTTAGTGCAAGCCCCTGGTACACAGGGGTCATCATGTGCAATGAATACATACTGTTTAATACTGTAAACAATAATAATCCCATTTTCCAGGACATAAATAGTTACAACACCAAGACATGTCTATTAATAAAAATCCATTAAAGTCCTTCTTATTTCTGTTGTCCGATACCATCGGTAAAACTAATGATGCTTATAAGAAGCAGTACATTTTAATAGTCCCTTTATGGCCCTCTTGCTACTCTCAAGTTTCAATAAATGTAATTGTTTTCAATATTTTCAAATCAAATGTAAAACATTTAGTGGAAAAATTATATTCCGTAACAAAATCTCCAGAGAGAAAGCGTAAACTCTGTTGGTTATATCAGTTTTATGGGAGAACAGAGCCTGAGAATAACAATCGATCCACAGTTACTAACAATACTTTTCCAGTTTTTTTTTAACCCAATATAAAATATTTGGAAAAGAATATTGCTAGCAAAGTAAAGGAAGGTGATAAAGAATAAACTCTTCTGGTTATACAAATTTATGGGAGAATATAACCAGAAAATAACAATCTGTCAGCCGTTATTAGCAGAACTCACGTTTAGGACTCTTACTAGATGTAAAGGGATGCAGACACTGCTTGAAAAAGTTTATAATTTTGCCAAGAGGGTGTGAGTAACGCATAAAAGGATTTACTAAAAATATACGTCAGTATATATCAGAGGCCAAATGAGTGTCATAGACAATAAAGACCACAGAAATCCGCTTACTAATTTTATGTATATATTAAGCACCTGCCACGTGAGAGGCGTTGTGCTAGGGAAGAGAGATGATGGGGAAAAAAGACATAATTTATATCCTAAAAGGGCTCCCAGTTCTATAGTGGGGTAGGAGATCACTAAGGTCTCGAAAGATTAGGAATAGTTTCTCAGGGGCTAAAGCTGAACCTTGAGGAACTGGTTTGTTTCAAGTAAGTGATGAGGGACCAAGCCTTTTCAGGTAGATTTACAAAGTCTGGGAAAGTCTTGGAAGAAAAGGTATCCAATCAGTTATAATCCCTAACATTTCTTTTGATGGGTTTGTTCACAGAGATAAACATACTTGGCACCATTATATTCACCCTTGAGGATTTTAATTTTATGACCTTTTATATGGCTTTTGGAGTTTTGAGGTGAAGTGGAGTTACCATAAACGAGGTCCTTTGTATGGGTTTTATAGTTATATGGGAGAATGCTTAGAACAAGAACATTTTTAGCCATGCGATGCAATTTCTAAAGATGCTTATTTACAGAAATCAATATGGAGCTGAATAATTGCTTGTGTGTACGAACAGAATGGAAGATGTTGTACAGAAAATTACCAGCGTAAAGAAGCTTCCGGATGCAGTGGAACTGCTGAGACATAGAAGCAACATACAGAGGGGTTCCCAGATGAGGAATGTCTTGATCAACGTCTACGCCCCAGGATATGAGGATTTCCAGACATTCATGGTGACCTGCCAACACAAAGTACAGGTGAGTTTATGTTTCCTGAATACCTGTTCCCCCCGCAAAACGTACACCTCCACCTAGGTTTCTCCCTGCAGTTATTCACTATGAACAGGGCACCGCATGTTGCTGAAGGAGCTTTCTCCCCTTGTCACTTAAGCTGGGGTCACGGGTACCTTTGCTGGCGGCCTCGTGTGTAGGGGAAGGAAGACAGGACTCCTGCTGGGGTTTGGCACCATATTCCAGAAGCAGTTCTGTGCAGCTGGGGCTGCCTTGTGAGCACGCATTGAATAACGGGGTCACACCGTCTATGGTGATCGCATTTACCTAAACCAAACCAGAGCTCTGAGAATGAGAGTCACAGAATCATACAGCACTCGCTGTCAGGCATTTAAAAACAGGTACGTGACCTGGGAACAGATAATTGAGAACATGTGGCCAGTAAAGATGACAAAGGCTATTTAGCTCACACATATCCATAAGCAAAGCTTAAAAACTACAAGGATAAATAGAAATATGATGTGGTAGATAATCCACAGGAGTGGGCGTGCAACTAGGGGAATCATGAAGAAGAAAATACCCGAGAATCAAATACACAAAAATGGACTCAGGGCTTCCCTGGTGGGGCAGTGGTTGAGAGTCCGCCTGCCGATGCAGGGGACGCGGGTTCGCGCCCCGGTCCGGGAAGATCCCATGTACCGCGGAGCGGCTGGGCCCGCGAGCCATGGCCGCTGAGCCTGCGCGTCCACAGCGGTGAGAGGCCCGCGTACCGCCAAAAAAAAAAAAAAGATGAGCAAACATTACAGGCATAAAGATGTTCATCTACGGCTATTTAGAATCACGAAAGCAGCAAATAGCCTGAAGAATACTCCACATCATGCAGCACACTACCCATTCTTTTGCAATGACTGGAAATCCTGCTTAGAGTGCAAGGGGGCGATTTGAGAGCTTTATTTTTGTTCTCCTATTTTTTGAAAACTACGAAGGAAAGAAAAGCAAAATGAGCACTTTGCTTGATTCTCTCAGCCGGGTGATGCGGAAACGGCTAACGCTTCTCAGAGGCACTTACGTTAGCTCCAGCTTGCAGAAGCGTCCTGGCACAGGCCACGTGATCTCCAAGGCAGGCCTCGTGTAATGGGGTGACGTGGTCTATGGTTACTGCATTGACATTATAGCCCTAAATGTGACATCAATAATTTTGAAATGTGAGCAAAACGTCAGAAAAAATCCTCTCTGTAATTGTCATTAGAGGGCGATATCAAAGATCAGAGAATTTAGAAAAAAAAAAAAAAAAAAAAAAAGATCAGAGAATTTCAGGCACGTCAGGTTTTAGTTAGGAGGAACGGCCAGTTCAAATGCCCACAGCCAGTCAGCTGTCAGATCCCCTGAGCCAAACTGTTGTGACCATCCTATCTGCACCCCATACTGCCTTAAGTCGTGTGCCCAAAGGATTCTGAATGTTTTCTCTAAGTTCTGCTTCCTTAACTTTTTTTTTTTTGTCTTTATGAATTGTTTTGGCTGCTATTGCTATTTTGTCTTTTGTTTTGTAGAACTAAAGACTGTTTCTAGGCTGGATCGCCTGCTTTGATGGGGGATATAAAATTTCAGGTCAGCCTAGACTGGGGTAAAAAGAAATTGTCTTAAGTTGCTCCATGAATTTTTGTCACTGAATAGGTACGACTATGTAGGGGTGAAAAACCTTTTTTCTACTCTTCTAGGTTCTTTTGGCTGGTCTAATAATCAAATTGACATAAGACCAATGAACAGAAGAAAAACAAGTTTAATTTCATACGTATGGAGGCCCCATAGGTATGGGACCTAAGAACAACAGTTTTCTGACGCAGGCCGTTTACGTAATTTTATAAACAAAGAATCAATTGTTTGTGAAGATTTGACTAGACGAAAGGATTTGGGCTTTTGGAGTAGCAACTTAAAAGTAAGTAAAGTTTGTTTATACAGCTTCCTTCACCCCAAGTTCCCCTTCTCTGGTGACAAGGATGTCCAGCATGGGGAGGATACCTCCCCTGGGAGCTTTGTTTCCCGATTTCAGGGGGACAAAGGAGAGGCAGAGCGTCCTTCTTTATACTGGCTGTTTCTCATATAGCTTTAATTCAAAATAATCAATATGCTATCTGGGCATATTTTGGGGCAGCCTGCTCTGAACCCCATCAACTAGATTGTATGTTAGTGGTTAAGAGGTCTGAATACAGAGTCAGTTAGATGTGGGTTTGAAGCTCCATAATGCACTAATTATTTTAATTGGGACAACTACTCTAATGGCTAAATTTTAGGGTTACCATGAGGATTAAATGAGATGATATATGCAAAGCAATAATGATCACAATGCCCAGCATATAGGAAATGTTTGATTTTATTTTATTATTCAATGAAAACTAAAAGTACAACTTAAAATATTTTTATTCCAATTAAACTAATGATATCAGACTAAAATAATTAAATATTGCTAGGATATGAGATTCCTCACCTTCTTGCTACTTTTGGTAATTCATTGTCTATTGACAATCGTTCTAAGCAATATAATAGGAAGATTTTCATGGCCAAAGCCCCGTAACATCTTACAGATTACCATGCTCTGTAGTAATACCAGAACGGACACAAAGAATCTTAAAATGAAGGCAAGAAAATAAATATCCCCCCAAATCTCTGTCACTAGCAAGTGGCAAGTTTTAAGATCCTTTAAATTATCCTTTGGGGGGGGTTTGAATCGGCTAGCCCACGGCCAGACTTGGAGAGCTAATTCCCAACTGCTGCCCACTAAGGTGACCCGTAACAGAAGCCCCTGTGAAGGTCAAGATTCTGCCTCACACGCTCCGCTCTGAGATCAGGGAGGTTATCCTACCCTTTAGAAGTTAGTGACGTTTTTGCAGTTTTTATTGTATTTTTCATCAAGTTATGAGCAAACAACATAGGCACAGGGTTATCCCAGAACCGGAAGGCCACAGTGGGTGCCTGCATCCTCGCTGTACAGGTGAGAAAAAGAAGGCTCAGACAGGCTGTGATTCACCTCAGGTGCCAGCCTGGAATCCAGGTGCTCCAAGCCCCCGGCAACGCTGCTTAAAGTGGGTAACAGCCCTTCCTTCCCTTGGAGTCATCCGAGAAAATTCCTGTCTCCCTGATACTGGGAAACACCAGGGCAAGGACTTCCAGATCTGGGTGTGCATTTAAATCACGCTGGCCAAGGCACAGTCCCTTATACTTCAATAAGGAATCTGTGCTTTTCAGTTTTTCCTCAGGTGAGTCTGATGCGCAGACAGGTGTAAAAATGATTGTTTTGTAGCTTTCATAGGCAAATCCCTGTAACATACTACAGATCACCATAATGTAAAAAAGATTGTTTAGGCATCTGGTCTGATCAGCTCCTCTTGGATGTTTTATGACTGAACTAAGGCTGCAATTAGCTGTACATGTTGTACTGAGTCAAGCATATTAAAAATGTGTAATGAATAATACATACCTCCAATTACTTCCTGCTTAAATATGACTATCAATGAACAAATACACTGTATGAGAAATCTGAAACAGTAAGACCTAAGACTACACCGAAATATTTCAAAAGAAGTTTCGGAGATAAGTGAGAAACTGTCAACTTGGCTAATAATATGAGTTAAAAAGACTAGTAAAATTTATTAAGCAATTTTATTATTTTGAGTTGAGTACTATTGGCAACGGATGTTCATACTCTCACGGGACGAGGGCATATTTTAAAGTACACGTTATATTTTACCTGTGATAATAATGTTCTCAGAGCAAGAAGATGACCTTGACTCGCCGCTTCATGAAGTGGTGACCGATCTGCCCAGGAACCTGCCAGAAAAGAAAGAAAACAAAAATCTGTGAGTCAGAATAAACCCTGAGAGATACAGTTAATTCACGCGGAAGAGATGTTATTGAGGCTCCGTGTTCAGCGAAGTGACCAGGATGATTCACCACGTCCCAGAAATTCCATGCTGATCTAAGGGACCCCGATGGGCAGTTTCCAAACCCAGAGGGCTGTGATGCATGTTCTGGAATAGGCCTATCCCAGACCTACTGTACCTTTTGAATTACTCTCCAAAGAAGACAAGGATTAAAGTCACTAGATCTGCCCAGAAGCCCCCGTTTCATGGTTTTTCAGGCAGACCCCAGAAAAACAAGTTTTTGCACCATCAGCAGAAACGGCAGCGGGCACACTGACCTCTCCCCACCCCTGCCCACCCTGCTGTCCCCCTGCTCTCTGCACCCCGACGGTGGCCTGCCCTCAGTGTGAGGGGCTGCAGGTCCAAGTCCTGAAACTTGGAGCTGAGCTCCAAGTCCTGAAACTGCAATATGCCAGGCAGGTCCCAGAAAGGGGGTGTCACAGGCTGGGAGGGGCAGACTGTCACTGGGGTTTTGGTTTTTTGGTTTAACTTTTTATTTTATATTGGAGTGTAGTTTCAGGTGTGCAGCAAAGTGACTCAGTTATACGTATACATCTATCTCTTCTTTTTCGAATTCTTTTCCCATTTAAGCTGTTACGTAATAGTGAGCCGAGTTCCCTGTGCTATACAATGGGTCCTTGTTGGTTACCCATGTTAAATGCAGCGGTGTGTACATGTCAGTCCCAAACTCCCCAAAGATCCCTCTCTGCCACCCTTCCCCCTAGTAGCCATAAGTTCGTTCTCTGTGTCTGTTTTGTAAATAAGTTCATTTGTATCATTTTTTTGAGATTCCGCATATAAGTGATATCATACGATATTTCTCATCGGTGTCTGAAATGGTGCTGAGAGCACCAAGGGCTTGCTCGGGGTCACTAATTCTCCTTGTGCCAGCAGTGGACGGAGGGAGGTACCAAAGCCTCCAACCCTGTGCCGTGGTGGATAAAGCCCTGACCTGTCATGCGCCCCGTGACCCCTCTTCTGACAGGCCTTTGGCACCTCCCCATTAGGAAAATCAGTGCCCTCCCACGTAGAAGCCCCGTTTTCCTTCTCTCCCAGGCCCCTCTCAGCACCCAGCCAGCACTTGCGCATCCATCACCTGCCCCTCCCATCCCTCCCCCGCTGTGGTCCACCCAGGTGACTTTATAAGATACTGGGTTGGTGCACAGTGATTTTCTTGTAGGCAAGATCAGCATTGTGAGTTTTATTTAATGGACATGAGAGATCACCTTAGAGTGATTAAACACACAGACTATGCAAATCAGAAAAATACTCACTTACAGGGTATCATCGGCTGATAAAGTAAAGCAATGCTGACAAGACAGAACATCTTCCCGATGTAATGTGATGGTTTGCGAATACTTGTCTCCTTGTCTACTACCCTTTTTGTGGATCCATAGGATGCAATAAATATAAATAATTAAAAAAAATAAACTGCTGATCAGTCCTAGTGCAATTTAAATAAAGTCACTTAGCTGTTGGTCAGAAACATAAATTTCATGAAAATCATGTGTAAAGCTTGCTTATATAGGTCAGGAAACCACTTCATTATTCCTACACTTTGTACCTTTGAAAATGCCCAGACGTATACCTATGCTTCTGTATGATGGTCTTACAGTAGAACTTGGCCACAAGTGAGGTCCAAACAGTTCCACTGGCTAAAATGTGGGACAGATATCATAAGGTTAATGAAATGACCCAGTGGACCCAGTATAGAGGGCAGAAATCAACTGACAATCATCAGTCTTTTTATATCCAGTGATATTATGGGGGATTATTGAAAATACGAATCTTTCTTTTCCTTACGGCTGATTTTTGAGTGACAGAAATCACAGCCGATGTTGAACAGTGTTTACTACGTGCACGATACTGGTCTAAGCAGTGTGTATGAATCTCATTTCGTTCTCACAGCTCTTTGAGGTACATTAATTAATAATAATGTATTAAAAAATAATTAATATTTCTGTTTTAAAGTTGAGGAAATGAGCGCTGTAGAAGAAATGAAAGCATTTAAAACGAGTCAGAGTCTAACTGCAGAGCTGATGCTCCTATAGTTCCAACTGCACTGCCGTTGTTTCGCCTTCCCATCAAGCGGTATTTCCTGCTTGTCCAGAAGATTAATAAAGCCAACGTCCAGATCTTAGAATTCTCAACTGAACAAAGAGTTACTGTTACTAGTGTTTGTGTATTATTTCTATCCAGTGGGCAACACTCCTGTACTTTATTAAAAGCAGAATTGAATTAATACACCCCAGTAAATATTTGTTGATAGGACAAAATTTGGCAGCAAAATAATAATTTATAAGAAAGTGAAACGTTATGTTCTCAGTAAATAAAATGCAAAAGTCACCATCATAAATAATACTCTTTTGGGGAACAACTGTGTTTCAAGTTCCACCTATGAAGATAGTATTCAATGCTTTAAAAATCATACACATCTGTTTGTTTTGTCATTAAACAACTTGATGGCAGTGTGAAACTCTAGAGGAGTGCAGAACATATATCGGTTTTCATTGCGACTATTTAAATAAGAAAATTGTAATATTAACTTTCCAAACAGACTGCATGTGTGAAACCTCTGTATTCAGTTTAGTCAGCAGAGCAGTAGTAAATATTCATTTATAATATTTATAATGATCATGTGCTCCCTCCTGTATAATGGGTTAATAAATGTCATTATCCTTAATTTACCTCTGAAAGCTGTTTGCTGAATTGTACGATGCTGATTTGTTATCACCGCCTATTCTTCCGTTGTCACTGGCTAATGTAGCAATTAACCAGATGTTGGGACTGGGAAAAGCCTATAGAAATGGCCATTTGAATTCATTTTGGGCTTATCTCTTTCCAGTACGTTATGAAGACATTTAAGGGGCAGCAAAACTAACAATATTTGCAGCTAAGGGTACTAGATATTCCTGTTTTGCATACAATTTATCCACCGAAACGACTGCATTAGTCTTCTGAACCATTTAGGCATTGCTTGCAGATGTTCAAAAGAGAGAGAAAAGCAGGAAAACGGCCATTTAGAAACCAGGCCACGCCAGGGGCCAAAATAAAGAAATGCAAGTATTCGTGGAATTTACCATCGTCACAACCTGGGCTCTCCCCCAAGACTGTCACATAGCTTTCCGTCCCCGCTGTCATCTTCTTGATCACCAAGACTTAAGTCCCTTAGAATGGAAGAAAAAAAACTGAAGCCAGACTTTTGTAGGTGCATTCGCTATTATCTCTCTTCATATGCCCTCACTGGCATGAACAAGGAGTTAAGTGTCACACAATCTCCAGGAGAGGGCGGGCGGTGGTCAGTGAGAGAAGCACCGAGAATACATAGTGCTGGATGAGGGCTCCCTTGGCCCATCGGGCAGGGACCAGGCTTCTGAGAGCCACCGCCCTGTTACTTCCTGGGATGAACTCAGCTCTGCTCACCTGCCTTAAGCAGGACCCCTGTTGCCTGTGGTGCCTTAAAGAAGGAGGTGGGCAGGAGACGAGAAGGAAATGGAAACCAGAAGGAAGTGAGAAACCAGGTGCGGGTCGGAGCCCAGAAGTTCACGGAGGAAAAAGACCGAGGGGCCGGGAAGGCCTGGCTTTGCAGCCCAGCTTGGGGCAGTGGTCTTCGGGAAGCACCTAACCCCTCTGCGAGTCAGATTGCCCATAAAATAGGAAAAACACTACCTATGAGACAGGATTGAGGGCAGATTAGCAATGAGCATGCTAAGTGCGTGCCTGCCACGTAAATGCACCAATAATACCTAGCATTCTTCGTTAAATATGAACTGATCGACAGGGGACATTTTAATATGAATTTTAAGGAACAATCCTTTTTTCTCCAAAAGTAGGGAAACTCAAGCCATAGATAACGGCATCTATTGAGCAAAATGATTTTTCAGTGCTATCAGCTTAATTAAATAAACCATATAAAGTGACTGAATGATTTATAAATGTTTTTAAGCCAACAGTCAACACTGCTGCTGTATTCTTCTTTCCTAAGTAAGGTATAAGAAATAAAGCCTTGTCAGTCCAGTAAAGGAGTAATTTATACTACATGCTTGAGGTCAATGAAGAAAAAAATAAGTTTTTGTTTTGAATACTGCTTGCTTAGCTCCCAAGCACCCCCCTCTCATTTTCTTCCTTATAATTCCTCAGATGAATTTCTATAATTAATCTGGTAACATGTGAGAATCAAAGGATACATCATGCTCCAGTTTCTGCTCTGAAATAAATCTTCACCCATCCCTGTTTCTCCCTTTCAATATCTGAAATTTAGCAACTGCAAATTTCCATTCAAATGTGTTCAATATTAAATATCTTACCTTTCAACGCGGATATGCTTTATAGTAGAAAGATTTATAAGCTTTCTCAAGACCAAACAGAAGATAAACATCTTCATTTGCAGCAACTTTTTAACTTTACAATCTTGTTAGACTTTAAATTGGGTATCTAAGATTCTTAAAAAATGCTCAGTTTAACTCCTTAGGATAAATCATTCAGTGTGAAAATTGTTTTACAAAATACCTGTAACTTTCACCAGCTAATCTAATGTCTACGGTTACGATCTCACTGCAGCAACAGTGGAGGTGACCGCCTATATTTAGAAACAACACGGGCTCCCAGGCATCTGGTATATCATTTACAGGGAGAGAGCCTGCCCTGTTCTGTAAACATCACCTTACCAGAGCAAAACATTTACGTTCTTAGGTATTTACAGATTGCTGGGGGTCTGTACCATACCTAAATCACCATCTCCCCACGGCACTTCAAGCCAGCCACTGTTGAGGTAAATCCAACTCATGTCGTTTTTTGATCAGCATTAACAACAACAACAGCAAAAGCACTTGCCATGTGCTAGCTCTGTTCGGCCATTTTATGGAGCTCTAAGCTCCTTGTAACATGACCTTTCACCTCCAAAAAGAA